GTCATATGCGAGAATTTCCGTATGTCATACCTTTTATGAAACAGCGTTCTAAGCCCGTCGTCGACCTTCTGGCGAAGAGGTTTACGGAAAGAATTATGAAGGACGCGATGAGCACTACTTACACGCCCCGTGACTCATTGGATCTCTCTTACGAATCTGGTCAACGCAAGTGTAACGTTTTCGTTTCCACTTCGAGGACTACGTTCGTTGTTTCTCTCTTCGGTATCTTCTTTTGTAATATTCCCTCCCGTATTCCTGATATTTGTGTTTTGATCACGTGATATACCAACTCGCACTGCGTTCTCGAATATCCTATTTTCGTTTTAAAATACATGTTTTGTCGTGATACTTGTGAGCCACTTCCGCGATGTAGGCCTGCTCTCGATTTCCAACACTGGAGTGTGAGTGGTAAGAGCTGTTAAACCCCGTCAGAGTAGTGACTAGCGTACAGTCTGGACAACCGGGGTTCGATTCCCGACACGAGCGAAATGTTTCGATTAGCTGCAGCATCCATTCCGGTTAACATCTTCGTACGTTTTCGAATCCAAGTCAGACGTGTTACAACTGACCTAATTTGCGACATTCGTGTACGCCTTGAAGAATAACGTCTCGGTTGTTTGCCGAAATGCATACTGTTAGTGTAATGAGGGCCTCTTTATCTGTCTTTGGTACTGGAGTTGTCGAAGAAATTAAGTTTTTGTTACATTTTACATGAAGTGCTTTTGTACGATGCCCGCGTAGACATTAACAGTTCTCCCGAAACTGCTCATTACACAAAAGATTGATACCTGATAAAACAATAGGTTTTATTACGGCGTAAAACTTTTATCTCCGTTTTTAAATATGATTAATTATTTTTAAATGGCCTGCTGCTTAGAAACTTAACGAAGTAACATAATTTCGGTTGTAGGTTTGACAATCAGCGACGAGCGCAAACTTGCACAACGCATTTCGAATTGTACCTCACATTACTATTTAAGAGCAGTGACTACAATGTGTACCCGATGACAAGTGTAAGGCAGAAGACCGCTGTTTTCTGGGTTAAGAGATGTAGTCGCTCGTCTGCCCGATGATGGAGGCAGCAAGGCCTTTACCAGACAAGCCATCTTCGTACTCAACCGCCGTGAGAACCTCAAATCCAGCAAAATTTAAGGCACGGGAGTGAAGCAACTTGGCGTTTGAAGGAATATTTGTGTCGTTGCTCGGTTTCTCTGCCTGTTTGTTGTGCTAGTGGGCGATCAATACGGGACATCCGGTGGAGGGGCGATGTCTGCTGCGATGGGGTTGTGGGAACTGTGGCGTGTGTTGCCGCCGCTCTGGCGTCGACTGTTTGAACACGCACTTACCTGAAGAGAAGTTTCGATCGCCGTTCTGGGAAAAATCCCCTACTCGATTCTGATGAACTAGGCCGTTGCGACGAAAACTTAACAAAAAAAAAATTACATTATGTAATAACTAGATTTATAATTGCAAAGAGGTGCAGTCGTTTGCTGGGTTGACTAAGAAATTGCTTTAGTGATTATGCCAGGCATTATTAGACTTCCTCGTTCTTAGGTACTCTGTTAATTCTAGCAGCGTGTTTTGTCATGTGTTCGCGCAGTTAGACATTGTTATAGACCATTGGTTACTAATCATGTTTTGCTAAGCTGTGTTATTTGCAACCAGTCCTGTGGCCTAACGTTTTTGAGAAATTTCAGCATTAACAATCTCTGCCTGAGTTTTTTGAGCACTGAGAAAGTTACTTCCATTGTACCATGATTTAATGCTGTAATTTTATAATGGATGAGAAAATTAGCATGTAATATGTTTGTTTTAAAATATAATCTTGGAGTTGAAAGAACATTGACCTGCATGAAGTTTGAAAATATTAGATATATGAATGCATTAACATGTAGTGCCAGAACAACTGGTATTGACATTTTCATCATTCTTTACACCTTTCAGTGTTAACGTAGAACGCAGTATTCTCATCCTTAAGAAAAATGCAAATGTAAACAAACCGTGGCTTTGATGATGGTAATAATATGGCCTTTGGGTATGAGAGAATTGTCATCTTTCTACCCCCCAACCATCCTTTCCTGAGGAAAGGCTGTCTGTGTTACCAATTTTCATCTTTGAAGCAGATGATTGACTTCTGACTAAACCTGGTTTGAACTTAGGCCATTGTGAAAGTTTGCTTGCAGTATTGAGTGCAGAAATATAAATTTCATAATAATCAATTCATTAACTTTGGAGATGAAGAATGTAGATTGGACATAATAAACCTTCCCATT